AGTCTTTGGTTTATGCATATTTCTTTTCATACCATTGACGTTACTACATTAGATTGGCCCCCTTTTTCAGTTATTTTACAATATGGTGATCATCTACTTTGTCTTCTCTTTTAAAGTTAACTTTGGAGTTCGTGATTTTTTTTCCAGTGTTTCTAGAGTCTCACATTTCCTTGTACTATGTCTTAGTACAATTTTTATGTCCCTGATACCTCCCAGTTTGTCTCACTACATTGCTATTCCTGAATGAATATGGAAAGGTCAGTATGTTGCCATCTGTACATTGCTCATTTCTCCTTATCACACCCTCTCATGCCCGCACACCTCCCACCTTTGTACCATCACATATGTATTTGCTAACACTTATTTGAATTCCCACAACACTTGCCATGTTCCCTTCTTGCAAGTCTCCTGGCACCTCTTTCTTCAACTGGTTCGCCCTCTTCTGTCGGCATCATGCTCCAATTCAGTGCTCCCTCTTCCATTCGAGACAATGAGTCATCTCACCTCCAACCTCTCTCTCTTGGCCTCAGTCCTCTGTCCTATTGAAATACATGGCCAGGCTGCACACATGTCCCCCGCTCTGTGTAGCACACCCCACAGAAACACTTCATTCAAATGCACATGATTTTTTTTTCTGAAACCAGGCCAGTTGCTCAGTGTTCACCATTATAGGCAGATACTTGATGCAAAAGAAAAAAGGAAAAGGAAAAGACAATGGAAAACAATGACAAGAGCAACCAGCCAATCAGTATAATGTCCCTTCTCTCTGTGTACAATCAGCTCCAGCTGTAGGCCCTTTATCTTGAGAGTTCAGAGGATAATGCACACATATAATTACCCCAAATAAACCCACTTTCGTGAAAAACATTTTGAAGACTTCAGCACAAAAGAGCACTTTTGGGTCCAGATCCTATACTATTCTGAATTTTTAAAAAGACCACACAGAAGCCTCATCAACAGTTCTCTAATTAAACTCATCAGTTCACAGATGTTTACAGGAAAATGCTCAGCGAAAATTTTCACCAAGAATTCCTGTTTCCTGAGAAGAGAGATGGATGATGACAATAGTAATAGTAAAAAGAGCTCACGTTAATAAGTAATGAGCCTGCCACTTTACATAGGTCAATACATTTAAATCAATAACCCTTTTGAGGCAGTGATTATTCTCATACCTATTTTACAGAAGCCAAAACTGAGGCTAAGTAGGTTAAATAAGTTTCCCAAAGTCACACAGCTAGGTAGTGCCAGGAACAGGATGAGTCCTGGTTTGCATGACTCAAAAGCATGTGCTCTTAATCACTACATATTTCTGCCACCACCTCTTCCATGATGAAAATCAGTGTAAAGTTTCCAACATTTCATAGTCACCAAACAAAAACTGACTGAACTACCACTATTTTAAATTACCAATATTTTCCCCAATATCCTCTCTTTCCTCACTCCTCACCTCCAACTTTTCCTCAACTTCTGTTTTCTGCTCTAAAGATTTTCCTGGTGGTCTGAGAGTCTGTTAAGGCAGTCATTCTCAGAAAACACACTTAAAGATAACATCTTCGGGCTTCCCTGGTGGCGCAGTGGTTGAGAGTCCGCCTGCCGATGCAGGGGACACGGGTTCGTGCCCCGGTCTGGGAAGATCCCACATGCCGCGGAGCGGCTGGGCCCGTGAGCCATGGCCGCTGAGCCTGCGCGTCCGGAGCCTGTGCTCCGCAACGGGAGAGGCCACAACAGTGAGAGGCCCGCGCACCGCAAAAAAAAAAAAAAAAAAGTTAACATCTTCTAGACTGTTTCAAGGCCCAACTTAAAAATGGAAAAAGTGCAGTTGAATATACACTGGCCACATCTCTTTTTCACTGATAATCTAATGAGCTGTGTGTTTTCTGTACCCTGGAGAGAGAGACAATGAGCCCTGTCAGAAACAGAGCTTTTGTGCCACGTGTAGTCTAATCCAGTTGTTTTCTAGCCTTTAGGGTCTTTATATGTTGGCTTCTGATCCTCACTGTTTATGCCAACAAATACCTCCTCTCTTCTCTTTTTTCAATATAGATGTTTCTGGGGTGCATGGTCACAATATTCAGAGCCACCTTAGGCAACCATTGTTTAAGAGAAAACACCCACTTCCATACACATTTTAAACCATTGTATATGAGCATTATTTGTAAATATTCATTATCTAGGTACAAGTGGTACCGCCCTTAAAAAAGTGATTAATCGGGCTTCCCTGGTGGCGCAGTGGTTGAGAGTCCGCCTGCCGATGCAGGGGACGCGGGTTGGTGCCCCGGTCCGGGAAGATCCCACATGCCGCGGAGCAGCTGGGCCCGTGAGCCATGGCCGCTGGGCCTGCGAGTCCGGAGCCTGTGCTCCGCAACGGGAGGGGCCGCAACAGTGAGGGGCCCGCGTACCGCAAAAAAAAAAAAAAGTGATTAATCAAATATACAAGAAGGTTTTGAAGAAACATATCTATATCAAACTACTTTCCATTTTACTTATTTATTTTTTGACTTTGGCAGTGTATTTGGCTGATGCAATATATTGTCACCACTGGATTAAGCGAGAAGGGTAATGATTACTCAGGCTTTTATAACACTTAGGAATTCACATTACTTCTATATGTAAACTTGGAAAGAGACTCTTCTCCTAAAGGGAGAAAGAATAGGTGCTGTAAGCCCTAGGTTTCAATGAACCAACACTCAAGGGCCGTCTCATTTTCATCTTTTCAGGAGGACGGTGATCCAACTGATGGCTTTGCCACTTGGGGTCTGTGTGACCTATTTGTTGCAAGTTAACTGCTTCAAATGTCAGTTTTTCTCACCGGTAAAATGGGCCTAATTATTCATGTCTACCTCATGGAGCTATAACCAGGACCAATTATATGACTTATGTCAAAATATATACATAGTACTTCCAAGATATATGACATATAAGTGTTAAATAAATGTTAACTCTTATTATTATTACTGTCATTTTTGTTATTTCTCTGTCTATAACTAAAGGCTGCCATCATCAACTGTGTTCCCCATGCCTGTAGTCCCTCTACATTCCCACTCTATATGGGTCTATTTTTCTATCCATTCATTCTGTAAACAGCTATGTTCTATTAGAATGTGAGTCTCATGGGAGCAGGCACTGTGTCCATCTGGAGGAAGCAGTATAGATGAGTGGTTAAGAGCATGGTCCCTGGAGCCAAACTGCTTGGCTTTGAATTCTGCCTCTACTACAAATTTGATCAATGACTTTGGGCAAGTTTCTTAACCTCTCGGAGGCATGCTTTTCTCATCTGTAAAATGAAACTGATTATAATAGCCAGCACATAGGTTATTGTGGGGCTTTATCGTGTTAATATACGTAAAATAATTTAGAGTAGTGCCTGACATGTAATAAGGCTGTATGTGTCTGCTATGATTATGATTATCATTCTTATTTTTTATCACTATATGTAGAACAGTGGCTGACACATAATAGGTATGCAATAAATATTTGATCAATGAATAAACAAGTGCTAGACATTGGAAATACAAAAGATTTACAAGAATGTCACTTGTCTAGAAGAGAACGGTAGGAACCAGTAGAGAGGCTTACAGCTTACTGGAGAGCTCATGGTCAGCAGTCAGGTTCAGTTCCCTCCTGATCCAGGGTCCCTAACCTGGGCTACACCACCAAAGGATTAACTGACACATGGAATTTATATAGCAACCTGAAGCAAGAATAAAAAGCAATGCTATGAGGCATTAAATGACTAAAGTGCTGATTAGATAGTACAGAGAATATGTAGGAATCCAATCTATTTTATTTATTTACATTTATATTACATTTATTTGAATTCCACATCATTTCAGCAGGAACCAACTAAAGAATTGCTTCATAAAAAAATAGGAGCCAAATAAGGATAACCTAGGTGTGCAAAATATTTCCTAAATATTTGAAAACCATTTAAGAGAAGTGTTGCAAAGACCCACTGTAAGCCACTGCCATGAAGTAGTAATTGCTCAGGTATCACAGGCTTTTCTGTCCAATAACAAAAGAGGAGTTGCTGTTAAAGCCGATAGCATTAAGGTACTCTTGAACTTGTTCACCTGAAAAGTTCTGTGTTCCAACATTAGCACTCTTTCCTTAGAAAATAGACTCATGTTAAATGACATTTTGATGCGAACAGTTTTTAAAGTGAGAAAAGCCAAGTTTGGTGAAGCTGTGGGAAATGGGGGCTCTCGTATAATTGTGGTCTAAAAGTAAACTGTTTCATGTTTCCAAAGGGCACTTTGGACATAGGTATCAGAGCCCTTATAATATTCATATACTTTGTGCAGTGTTCGTTTGTATGAGTTATCCTGAAGAAGTCATCAAAGTGGTGTACAAATGTAGAAGAAAGTTTATTGCAACATCATTTATAATAGAATAAAATTAGAACCAACATAAACATGCTTTAGTAAGAGATTAGTTAAATCATTATGTTATAGCCATGCAGCACAGTGCTTTGTAGGAAACAAAACTCATATTGTTGAAGTACATTCATGTTAGAGGCAAATGTTCATTCGAAGTTAAAAAGCAGGTTCTAAAACAGTGTGTGTAATATGGTCACAGTCGTTTAAAGAAATATATCCATATAGGGAGATTAGGGATAATATTTATTTTCTTCTGTTGTTTTTGTTTGTTTTCTTCAATGGATGTGTATTACTTCTGTAATCACAATCACTATAGCATAAGAAGGACATTTGACCCCTTTGTTCCTTTTTCCACAAAGAGTATTCCGATTTCTATTATAAAATATCGTTTCCTCTTAGAAAAAGGCAGAAGCAACCTTGTTTTTTAGCATCAACAACTGTACCTTATCTGCTTTGGCTAATGCCTTTAATCTGTCTGTTCTGTCAAAGTGTGATATAGATACTGGACTGTAATGATTGCAATTTAATCTTTACATAAGTCATAATTTTGTGTATCTTCTTGCCTGAATAGTTCTCTTCACCTGCATAGATTTGGCTCTAATAATGAATGTTTTCCCCTTTCAGGTAAACAATTACAGTTTAGAAGAAGTAACACATGAAGAGGCGGTAGCAATATTGAAGAACACATCAGATGTAGTTTATCTAAAAGTTGGCAAAGCCACCACCATTTATATGACTGATCCTTACGGCCCACCTGATATTACTCACTGTAAGTACCACGCTCAGTGTCATCTTTGAACAGCATGCCAGGTTTGCAAAACCGGAATTCTACAAAGCTTGGCAAAGTCCTCCACTTGCACCTTCACTCTTTGTAGCCTGCGGAAATACTTCACGGGGGTCCTGCACTTGACTCCCCAGCTGCCTTGGAGGCCTTACCTGATGAGTTGTCAGATTCACCCTTATGGAAAGGCTCGATGATATATGTTATGGACAGTGTGATTACAATAGCATAGGGGCAACACATTCTTTAAATTTATTTTATTGAGGTATAGTTGATCTACAATGTTGTGTTAATTGCTGCTGTACAGCAAAGTGATTCAGTTATACATTTATATATATACACATTATTTTCATATTCTTTTTTACATGGTTTATCACAAGATATTGAATATAGTTCTCTGTACTATACAGTAGGACCTCATTGCTTGTGCATTCTATATATAATAGTTTGCATCTGCTAATCCCAAACTCCCAACCCATCCCTCCCCCAACCCCTCCCCCCTTGGCAATCACACGTCTGTTTGCTATGTCTGTGAGTCTGTTTCTGTTTCATAGATAGGTTCATTTGTGTCATATTTCAGATTCACATATAAGTGATATCATATGGTATTTGTCTTTCTCTTTCTGACTTACTTCACTTAGTATGATGATCTCTAGGTCCATCCATGTTGCTGCAAATGGCATTATTTCATTCTTTTACATGGCTGAGTAGTATTCCAAGGGGCAATGCATTTTTAAAGTCTGTTTCTCAAGCCCTTGAAGGATGATAGCTCTCATGTCCTAATAGTCTCTCTTCCTAGTTCAAATCTATATAGCCGCAGAGTGGAAAAGAGAGACAGGCAAAATAAACCAGAGATAGCACTGTGCTTCTTCCTGGGGGAAAGGATCTTGCCGTCAATTGGTGAAATCATAATCCTTAATAACTATCATTATAGTTACCTTTACCAGAATTTGATATATTGGCAGGGAAGCCAGAGAAAATTGTTGATCACTATGGCAGTGGAGATGCGGTGGAAGTGCGTGCTTCTAGGGCAACAAATAACAATAAGATGCTCTACTGCGTCCTCACAAAGTCCACTGCTGCATAAGCCCCGTGTTTTCCCCTCTTCTTAATAGGTCAACAAGAAGATTCTGTCCTTGGGGACTAGATTTAGAAGCAATTCATTTCTTTGATGTGAGTTTAAGGGATAGTTTTGTCAGCATGAGTAAATGTGCTCATTCTGAAATTTTGAGAAACCAATTGTGAGGCTGGGAACTCAGAATGTCTTCAGGACCTGTCATTAATTAGTACTATGGTCTTAAGCAAGTTGTTTGACCTCTCTTAGATTTGGACGTTTCTCTTGAAATTTAAATGTTGAATGATTTTGTTATCTGCCCATTACATTAACTATTGCTTTTCTTAATGGTGATTCTAAAATGACTTGCCCCAAAATATGTCTTTTTGTCAAGCAAGCAGTAAGATGAGATCAGCCTTACCTCAGGATATGAAAGAGTGTTAACTTTCAGAGTTTTTCAAACTGGATAAATTTAGAAAAATCTGTCTTGAGCCTCTGTGAGCCTCTTCTTGAAGGGCATATAAGATCAACGTCAAAGAGAAAAAGGAGAAAACAAAACTTGCTATTCAATTCAAGAAATGTGTATTGAGTAATTTCAATACATGCAAGACACCTTGTAAGGTAATATGTGTGATACAAAGGAGATAAAATCATGGCCTTCATTGAAAGGAAGGCTAATGCAGATATATAAATAGTAGCAATATTTGGCAAACTGAGAGGGATGTACATGCTATGAGACAGGTAAAAATATATGTCCTTTGGGCACTCAAAGGAAAGGAATATCACCTGTCTTCGGAAGATCAGAAAAATCTTTATGCAGAGGGTGGCGTTTGAATTTTATCTTGAAAAATTGGATGAGATTTCAGTATCAGAGATGAGATAGGAGAGAGAAGTTGCAGGTAGCTGGTAGAGTGGAGCAAAGGTACAGATATTGGGGAGAACAGGCCTTATTTAAGGACCATAGGAGATTCATAAGGGGGGATATTGAAATGAGTCAATCTTGTAAGCATGGTGAAAGGGAGAATTTATATTCAATACAGTAGTGGCAATGGAGAGTGTGTAAGCAAGAGAACAGCATGATCAGACCTGGATTTCTCAATGTATAAAATGGATTTTGGGAGAGAACAGCAGCAGGAGACCCAGTTAGGAGGCTTTTCAGTCACCCAAAAGGGGGATGAATTAGGGTGCAGGAACAGAAGAGAAAGGCCAGAGTTAGCCTGTCTGGCATGGGAGTAGAGCATATTTAGGGATTAAAGTCTTATACAAGAACTTGCTCCTAAGAGCCTTCTGCTTTTGATGGTTTGATATTAATTACATGAAAAGAATGCAAGCTCTGCAATTAAAAAGCTAACATTTTTATTTCAATAGAAAATTAATCATTGTTCTGAAAATATGAGTGCTGGGTCTCTCCTCCAGTTTTTCTCTTCACCTAATTATACGAACTGGGCTTACAGATATAACTGTTATTACATCTTTCCAATCCTAAAGGTCACCATGTGCTTGTACATATTAAATGCAAACAAACAGCAACTCCCTCCTCTTGAAGGATCAGAAAATTCTTAGCGGGTAGCAAAGCCTTTCTATTTTTAACAGAACTGTAGCATGACACATTGAATCAGCCACATAACAGATTTCTTTTCTTTTCTTTCACCCCTTAGCTTATTCTCCACCAATGGGAAACCATCTTCTCTCTGGCAACAATGGCACTTTAGAATACAAAACCTCCCTGCCGCCCATCTCTCCAGGAAGGTACTCACCAATTCCAAAGCACATGCTTGTTGAAGACGATTATACCAGGTCAGATATGCTTTTGGTTAATTGGGTTTGCGATCATTACAAGGAAGAAATTGCATTTGCCTAACATGGCAGCTGTTGCTTCTCAGCCCCATTCAAACTTATGATAGTCTCACCTCAAGTGAAAATCTGCCAAGACTTATAAACATGTGTCATTGTCATCTGTTGGAAGCAAAAACCACAAATTCTTTGTGGAGAGGTAGTAATAGACACACAACCATCACTTTGCAATCTGTTAGGACTTTCGATATCTAACAACATTTGAGCTTTACAGCTATACTGTAAGATAGGTATCATTACTCAAAGACAGAAGATGGTGCTGAGGTTCAGAAAGAAGGAAGTAGCATAGCAGTATGTACGAGTCCCCTTGTAACCACATATCTGGTTCGTAGAAGAGTCAGAACTGAAAAACTCTGGGGTTTTTTTTTACTCTAAATTCCATGTTCTTGCCACCAACAGCTACACACAATTCACTGGAACTGAGGCTTCAGTCAGTCCTCCCTTGAGGGCAGTAACTACAGGTGGAAAGGAAAGGAGTGAAATTAACTCCAAATGGTTTGAATTTAATATATCTCAGTCTCAAAGGGGAACAGCGCAGGATTTTAGGACACAGCACAGAACCACATGGCTAACCCCACAAAATAAAACTACATTTAGGGCTTCCCTGGTTGCGCAGTGGTTAAGAATCCGCCTGTCAATGCCGGGGACATGGGTTCGAGCCCTGGTCAGGGAAGATCCCGCATACCGCGAGCAACTAATCCTGTGCGCCACAACTACAGAGCCTGTGCTCTAGAGCCCGTGCTCCGCAACAAGAGAAGCCACCACAATGAATAGCCCACACACCCCAACGAAGAGTAGCCCCCACTCGCCGCAACTAGAGAAAGCCCGCACGCAGCAACAATGACCCAACGCAGCCAAAAATAAATAAATTAAATAAATAAATTTACTTTTTTTAAAAAACTAAATTTAGCTGGCATGCCTCTGAAAAAGTCAGGTCTGACAGTTCAGAGAAGACCAACTTAGTTTGCATCATGGTCACTGGTCAGGATTAAGTAACTTTTGGATGATGAACAAATGAATGAATGAAGGGGTGGATGAATAATAGGAAAGGTACATTTTTTCTTTTTTATCTTTAAATGTTTTTGTTCCAAAGTAATGCATGCTCACTGCATTTGGTGAGGTAATGCAAAGATTTTCAAGAAACAAAAATCTCTCTCAAGCCCGGCAAGGTTCCCAGTGTGGCATTCTGGCTTGAACCGTGCATACCTTTTCTGTGTTCATACAGACGTGTACAAAGCATACTCAGATGTAACTGGGGCTTGACATTGTTTTTACAAAATAAGTTTGTATTTTACACATTGCTTTGCAACTTGCTTTTCTCATTGAGAAAAACTTTTACCCAAAATGAGATTGCATACGGATATGTACACTTTTTTTCTGAAACTGTGTGGAAAAGCGATACAGATGGATCCTTTAGTTTTATATCCTGCCTGTCTACTGAAGTCATTTGTCAGCCTTTAAAAAAATTGAGGAGACTTCCTGCTGCTTAACTTTCCTTGCTGGTGCCCGTGTGTGCTTTGGTCTTTTCATTCCTTTCCTATTTCTTTTTAAATGATTAAGCATTTTCCATTTATTTTGCAATTTCAGGTTTGCTGAAGTGGCTTGTTACATCTTTAGCCAAGGAATGGAATGTTTAGATGCTGCAAATGTGCATCTGTGGTTTAAATTAAATATAAACCTCTTCCTACACTGATATGTCTAATCTCTCTGCTCTTAATTAAAATGAAGGCTGCAGCAAAGATAATCCTCATGTTTCTCTAAAGATTGTATAAATATAGCCACCTTTATTCACCAGAGCAATAATCTATTTGCTCTCATCCTATCGCCACTATTTGATAGGATTTTAATTTGAAGATGTCATTTTATCATACTAGGCCCCATAGTGAATTAAAATTTATTAAACCCCATTCATAATCCAGGCCCTTTGCTAGCTGTTTTACTTACACTATCCTTTTAATCCTCCCCAAAACACAGAAAGAAGGGCTGTCATCCCCATTTTAGAGATGCAGAAATTGAAGCTCAAGGAGGTTAGGGAATTTGCTTGTGGGCACACAGCTTTTAAGTAGGAAAACTGGGTGCCCTGCCAGCTTTAAAATTCTGGCTAGGAAGAAACATGTTAATTTTCTCCTTATTTTTAAAATGAAAACCAAGTCATGTAAAACTGTTCTCATCGTAAAAAAAAAATATGTGGCTAGAAAGGGACCCAAGAGTTTTGATGAGCTCTGAAGACAATTAGATGCAGTCTGAGACATACTTCTACCACTGGCTGACTGTGTGAGCTTGGGCAAATCTTTTTCTTTTTTTTTTTTTTTTTTTGCGGTACGCGGGCCTCTCCCTGTTGTGGCCTCTCCCGCTGCGGAGCACAGTCTCCGGACGCGCAGGCTCAGCGGCCATGGCTCACGGGCCCAGCCTCTCAGCGGCATGTGGGATCTTCCCGGACCGGGTCACAAACTCGTGTCCCCTGCATCGGCAGGCGGACTCTCAATCACTGCGCCACCAGGGAAGCCCTTGGGCAAATCTTTTAACCACTGCAAGCCTCAGTTTCTTCATCTCTACAAAGGGGAGAGTAATCAAATCTTTCTCAATAGGTTGTTGTAATGATTAAATGAGATAATACCTGCAAAGAACTTATAACAGTGCCTGATACATAATGAATATTAAATGAATGTTATCTGTTTGCTGTAGGTATACTCATTATAATTCTCAATCTACCTATTTGCATGGAATATTTCAGATGGTGTCTGGGGAAGAGATTTCATTTCTTCCTACAGTGATATGCCTCAGTGTCTTACTTCTTGCCTGCTTCCTTCCTTGCTCTCTGACAGGACAATCTCATAACTTTGCATAAAATCTTCTGAATGTCTGGTGCCTGGGAAACTTGTGAAATAAATTATATCAGCTTACACACACAAACACACAGACACCTCCCTCACGTCCTCACCACCGCTGTATCCTCTCACAGGTGCTCTGTGCTATAAGTCATTACCACAGGTCTCAGAGATAAATATTTTCTGAGGCATATTCATCGCATTATTCATGAATATTCACTGAATACATCCTACTAGACAGTGGGTACTGCAGTAGAGATGCAAAATGGAGTAAGAAACAACATCTCTAAGAACTATCAAATTGGGACAAAAATATACGTGGAACCAGTGGACCCCCCAGTACCTATTCCTTGATGATGCAGACCCCCTCCATGAAGTTTCCCATAAAGCCTATATGTATATTTTTAGTCCTGAGATTTTATACTTTGGTGTCAAAATGGCCTTTCTTTTATGGTAGTCAATGGCAGTTACTTATTATATCCTAACCTAGAAGATGAAAAGTTGGCAACTTTATATCAGTCCTCATTTTTTAAATGTAAAAATACTGTAAAATCCCAAAGTGTGGGAACTACTAACAGAAACAAACAAAATTAGATCAGTCCAGTGAAGTGCTCTCGTGTTGCCCTAGCAGAGTTCCCCAGCACCAGAGAGGCACTTAGTAAATATTTATAAATAATCTTTTTGAGTTTTCCGTGAATGCCACAGGAAAAGCCTATGGCATCAAATAAAGTTTTAAAGAGGAGATAACTCTTGTGTTTGAGCTTGAAAAAATGTGTAGGCATTCATCAGGGAGTCAAGAGATCAAGAAGGGGACTCGTGGTAGGGGATAGCACATGCGTACTCAAGGAAGAATGTGAAATAGAATAAAATGAACACAACTGTTATAGTTTGAATACAAGGCTCATAAAGAAAAATGGTACCTACCTTTAAGTTGTCTATTTCTATCCTTTCTCTCATCTGCAACCTCGTCATAAGATTGGAAATACACAGAGTAGTAAAAACAAAAAGATCACTACTATGCGCTATTACGCTAAGTGCTTTCATATACATTATTGCTCCGATGTTATTTATATAATATTCTTAGTGTTGATTTTTACAGGTAACAAAAATGGGTTTAAGTAATTTTCTCATATCATACAGCAAGCAAATAGAAGAATCAAAATTTGAATTCGGGTCTGTCTTCAAAGTCCTCACCCCCATCCCTCCAACCCACCATCTCATACAGTCTCTTTCTATGTAGAGATGTTGGGTAAAGGGGATTGGGCTTGTATCAGGAGGCTGGTACTACCGCTTACCACCCAGATAACACTGAACAAGTCATTCAATCTCCTGAGTCTTGATTTTCTCATCTGTAAATTTGGGTCCTCAAATTTCCTCATGGAATTGTGAGGTTTTAATGTGATAATATGTGTGAACGTTGTCATCTTTAGACAGCTATATAAAATTATTATTATCCTAAGGTGCTATAGTAGCTTACCTTTGGGGCCTACTTTACATTTTCCTAAAATAATAAATCAAGGGAATGAATCTTTAATGATGGGACTGGGGCTGACAGGGAAACATTTCTGTGAAATGGGTACCTTCCAACAACCTATAAAATTATATCAAATTGGCAGTCTTTTGTTCCAAATGTTCATAATATTTTCCTATCTTCCTGATTTATATTCATTTTTGTTGGGAAATACAGTAAGAATTTTAAAAAGAGTCTTGATTAGAAGAATGCTACAACGGCTTACCTGGAATTGTTTTAAATCTCTTTTACTATTTAAGGAAATGTGTACCGAGTAAGCTGGGAAATTTTGTTTTTCCTCAATTTAGCGAAAGGAAGCCTAAACAAAAAAGGCTTGGATGAAATTCTCTTAGTAGAAACTCTACTGAGGCCCTTATAAATCAAAATTATTATTATGTAAATACTCTGGTCGTCAATTTTGGGGAAGCAAAGCTGTTACAATGATGCTGAGATGGTTTTTTGGCTCATAGAATTATAGACTATCAAATTTGGAAGGGCCATAAATGACTGTAGAGTCTAATCTTCCTCCATTTGATGGGTAAGAAACACGAGGCCTAACATGATTTGTTGGCTATCCCTAGGTCTCACAACTTGTGAGTAGTAAA